ATTCTGGATAGCATATATACAAACTCTCGTCAATAATTCTCGATTAGAACAGGCCGCACGGGTGTCTGTAAGGAAGTTTCTATCTTCATACCGCGTACCTTCGTGGTGTAATTGAATCACGTCTAGCTAGCAACAAGGAGGCCTGAAGTTCGAATCTCAGTGAGGGCATCACGGATTTTTCATACTCTCTGGCTTCACGGAAATTCTAAAATAGTTCTAGAAGTGGCGCCGGCACTAAAATGTGGTGGACGGTAATTTGTCACTACCAGGATTTGAAGACTGGATTCCCTTCCCTGTTGAAGTTGGGAAGAATGTAAAGTATTTTCTCCTCCCTTACCGCGTACCTTTATAGTGTCATCAAAAGCCCGTCCAACTATTAATCAAAAGGTCTGGATTTCGGACCCCGGCTATGACATTGTTAATTTTTCAGGTTTCTCTTCTCTGAATTAAACTTAATCACTCCACATTTAAGATCAACCACCACATGGTGAGGGCTTCCGTTTGTTCTTTCTCGTCATTTCCCCCCTATGTAAAATAAAAGTGATACAGTTTCGGTTAGACAGTCCACTCACTACGAATGGTGAGTTTAACAATCCAGAATATGCTTATTTATTTCATCGTCAAATTAAAATTAGAGAAGAGTCGTCTGATCACTTAAAGTAAGCATATTAAATCATTAGCAATGCATAATTAAAAATATGCGTAATCAAAATTATATTTTGTATAATTTACTTGCTAATATAAAACAACTCAATATAAACAATAATATGAGACAACTTTATCAAACACTTCTATCAATAACTTCATCGATTTCAAAAGCATTAAAAGTATAATCATAAAAAATAAATCATATAAATGGCGAAAAACTTAGGTTTCATAAGAAGAAAAGTCTTAAATATGCTACTAAAATTAGATTCTTTTATGAATAAAATATTTTATTATGAATCATTAATTTTCAGTTAAAAACTTTAAAAATACTTCAAGGCAAAAATTTTTGAAAATTATCAAACTTTATACAAAATTAAAATGCAGCAGTCTTAGAAAAATACTTTCCTTTTTATCTCTTTAGTCTTTGAATTATTTACGAACATGGAATCGTAAATCGCACTTCCTTTGAAACTCTTAAAAGAGTATTTAATGATCCAGTGTACTATTAAATCAGTTAATATGAAATTTGTTTAAGTAATTTAATGACTTACCACTACCAATTAATTTTTAGTCTTGCATTGCAAGTAACATGATGTTAATTTAAAAACGAAAGCTGTAATAAAATTAAAATACAGTTTTCGACTCAAAACCAATTAAGATTTGTAAGCGCAGATATTTAACATGCTTCAAACACCTGTAAAATCAGATGCACAGTAAAACAGCAAATCACATAAAAATTACCATTGAGCGAAAGAATTCATGCCTTCTGTTAAATCAAGCTTGATTAAAACCTTATTTAGAATTGTCACTTTTAAGTAAGCAAATAATTATAATTATTTAATTTTCACTCCAAAAGAATAAAAGCTTAGCATCTTTATATGACTAGTATATATTTATCTGTATTATCTTATAATAAATACAGATAAACAAATCTGATTGCATAAAATTCAGTTTTCAATGTCCTTTCGCAGTCTTTCTCTAATTCTAAGACACAAATACCCTAACTTTAAGAACCTTAACATGACAGATATTCTCATTCAGTTAACTGACATAAAACAAGCATGAAACTTCGTCACTTAGATCTTATTTTAAAACGCTCTCTAATGAAAAAGGAATTGAACACCTTATTGCGATTATTTTATCAAAATGTCTGTAATCTGTGAAATTTTATTTTACTAACTTCGGTAAGCGAATTAATGAAGAGCTTCGGCAGAAAATTGTTGTGTTATTGTTGTCCACGTCTTTATCACATGATCGAAAGATTTTCCCTCGAAAAATCGGAAATGTTATTAACAACAACAACAGGAAAAAAAAAAAAAAAAAAACACGCCGTTGGGAAACCATTACTTTCAGCAGCTTCTGTATCTTATATTTCTACTATTACGATATTTTGGTACTAGATAAACGCTTCTGGCGTCAGTTAAACAATATAAATTTCCGGCAAGTATTAGTTTTCTAAGTATCGATAGTAAATACAAATAAAATCTGTATTAATTACTGATGCATGGGACTATTTTTGGTATTATTTCTCACTTGATGAACTTTGGGGGATCGTCATTATTTCAAGATGGAAAGAGTTCATTTAGGTATAAATCTATTCAAGTAAAATCCTTTATTTATCATTTTTGTTCTCTTCATTAATACTACTGCGAAGCACTTGCGGGCTATCTGTTTAACAATAAGGATTCTTCCGTGGGGCAGGGAATATCTCTGTAACCAAAACTAACTAATTATTAAGTTACTATTGGGAAAAATCAGGAATATGCCCATTCTGCAGAACAGCTCTATAGGATTCGTACTACGTCTAACGGCTAGAGTTCACTCATTCGTAGCTTAGTTCGTAGAGTTCACTTTCGTAGAGTTCACTTTCGTAGAGTTCACTTTCATAGAGTTCACATTCGTAGAGTTCACTTATTCGTAGTTCACAGTTCGTAGCCACTCATTCACTAGTGAGTCTTGATCACGTTTAACAATTATTTTAGGTATTTTGTTAAAAAAGGAGTTTTTTGTTAGGTTATCAGGCGTTAATTAGAGGTATATGTGAATTTGAGTTAGAAGTTTTAGTATATTCGATAAACTCGTGCTGCTGTTGCAGTTTAACAAATAGTTGAACATTTTTGCGATATTATCTTCAGATGATGGTGTAAATTCAGCATTCTGTAAACAGTATTCAGTATTCAGCAACGAGTAAGATGGCTCGTTTAGTCCTAGGACGAGAGAAGAAGTAAGTTATAACGTAAAGCACATACGCGAGACTGTCAATAAGTGCAATGGAGACCGTGGTGCAGATAATGGTGATGCGTAGGCTTAGAAACTGACTGCGTACAAAGAAGAACAGTTAGTAGCATAAATTCATAAGCGACTAGTGACTGCATGTAGTGAGCAAGTTCCTGCTCGAAGCTTTGTATTTAACTGGATTAGAAATTTCAACATGGGAAATGACAGTGTAGTGAAAGAAATGAACGATGATATATCAGTAATCAGACTTACACCAAATGCAGTATAGCAGGTTTCCAACTTGATACCGACAAACATTATCTTCAGTGAGGTACATCTTGAAATGGGTGTTGGTAGAGAAGCTGTACACAAAAAAGGTTGATTTGAAAATACGAAAACTCTTTGTTCAATGGGAACCTCCAGAGGCTTACCCACTTTGTGTCAGGAATTCTTGCACTGGCTATGCACTTTTCGAAGAGATGGTTTGGTTTGGTTTATTTGATTATGGCAAAACACCCTACGGCTAGCGTAAGGGAAGGAATGACTTCGAGGAGGACATCAATCACTATTCTTTACACCTCACTTCGAAATCATGGAGAAAATCAGGAAAACGATCCATACAGCTAGCCAACTGGCTGGGATTCGAACCCCGAACTACCAGTATTCAGCAACTTTACAGCTTTGCCACTAGTGGGCTTTCGAACAAATGAAGCAGAACTTGCATGGTCGACCATTCCATGAGTGGATCTGCATTACGCCTAAATGGCTTCAGCCATCAGAAACTCTATGAGAATGGGAGAGCTGTATTTATTTAGAAGAAGATTACCTGTAATACCTTTGTATGTATTCCGAAAATTGAACCATGTTCTCTCATTTTGCTCATCTTGATGCAAATAACTATTGACAGACTCTAGTATACATCTTTGCTATTAATAATTACAAATTTTAGAATAATCAAAGTTTAGCTTTACAGAAAGCTCCCATTTGTAAAAGACATGGAAAAATTTATATCTTATTCTCTTATCTATTCGGGATAGGTGGGACTTACGAAACACTTATTATGCATAATAACTTGTTATATGAAACACAATTTCATATGAATTAGCTTCTCTTTGATCACGAAAAAAATCTTCAAGCTCATAAGGAATACGTAGAGAGAGTATGTAAATTAACAATAACAACTTAAGTTATTAGGGTAGATGACCATCACATTTAAATATAGTGAAGCTATATATATTTCAGAAACAAAATACATGCGCAGATCACATTCGGGAAAATTCATCATTTTCTGCGTTTTTCAGTATAACGAACCTCAATTGTAGTCGATCAAACACAGATAGTTCACCTTTATTATATAATATACGGATAGTAGGATATAACAGTTTGGAATCCAGTACATTGTAATTGCAAAGCGGATGCATCATATTATTAATTAAGTCCCGCTGGTAATGAAATTTTCATATGCTTTATTGCTTTAGAGCTTGTAATTCAAATATGCAGTACAGGATATAATATTCTTGCAGTGTCAGGTGCAGCTTTACGACAAAGGTGAGGATGATAGCCATAGACAACGTGGTGGATGCAAACTAGCATTTGAATTGCAGTACAGTGCGGCCATCAGAAATTCTATCCAATGCGCGCGCATAGCATAATTTAATCGCCAAGCTTCAGAGTGAGTTTGGTACCGCTTCTAAGACTGCAATATTAGCCTATACGTCTGACTAGCTTCCAGAACTCAGAAACTGGACTCTGGCCAATTTAAAGGGGACACAAAAAGACAAAGTGGGTCTAAAATTGTCATTAAAACTTTTATTGCATGAAACTGTTAAAAATATACTATAGCAGTATATGGGTTTGTTTGATTACATATTGCGGAGTTTATTTGCAATACTTAACAGGTCCTAATTTAGAAGTCAAACAACAAAAATTAACTTTATGTTTGGAAATTTTCTGTGAAAATTTGCAAATATAACGTTGATTTTGGTTTTTTTATTTCTAAATTAATACTTGTTCTGTGTGTTATTTTTTTATTACTTAACAGGTATTTTAATAAAAAAAAGGCTTTTCATCTGGTCAAATCGTTTTATTTTTTAGAAATGTATTAGCTACATTTTTAGATTTCCTTTCTCCTTCCCATTCTTCTTGCACATATACTAAAATTTGAACGATACCAGAGAAGATTAGCATGGCCCCTGCGCCAGGATGACAGCCTGTAAAAATTAAGTAACACACTGTAAATAATTTTATGCATTTCTCATTTCATTAATATTGTTTTACTTGATAAACATACTTACTTCGTAAAAAGCCTTCAGATGATATTTGTTGCAATTTCTGCAATAATTTCTGTTATTAAAATATTTTTATATTCTAATCAGTCTGTTTGCAAGATTAAACCTGATTAACTCTTAATCTCTCTGTAACCTTCATGTATTTTCAATGAATTCTCGTCTTCGCACTTAGCTTCAATTTTCGGAAGACCAAAACTACAAGAAAAAGTGTCTTAGAAATTACTTAATTATGTGCAATTCAACAAATAACATCAATGCTTAATCAACCTGGTATTCAGTTACCTCAGCTTCTAGCCATATGCGCCATCAAATTTTAAGAAAGAAATCACTTTTCAAACATAGACCTGCACACAGATGGACGACAGAAGAAATAAATTGCTATTTGGTGGGTTCCAGCATATATCTCTCTAAAATAAAAAAATAGCTTACTCTTTAAACTTGATTTACATTTTGGTAGTGGCTGAATGAAAAGCAGAAGTTTCAAGAAAGACGTAACATTGAAATATCATGGTGGCAGAAAGAAACCATACTTCCTTGCTGAATTATGCCTTTTATTTCTAAAAAAGCCTGGAAATTTGAAAAGGGATGAAATTTTCAACAGTTTAAGTTGGCTAAGTGTCTAAGTTTCTGCCTGTGCGAATGACTTTCTAAGATAAAACGGTTCGTATTCGTTACCTGGAGAAAACAACGGAAAAGCTAATGCAGCCAATCCCTTTGTCTGAATTCGAAACTGGATAGAAAGTCATCTGATAGAGTAGATCTTCTTGACTTGGGGGCACTATTTTAAAAAATAAGTTTGTTTCGATCTTTTATTTAACTGCACTATTTCTTCGAAACTATGACACTGGGCATCAGAGATATTTTGCTGCTGAAAAATAAACGCCTGTTTCTTAAAAAAAATATGTGTCGATTTCGAAAATCTTTCATATTTAATCGAATACGTCAGGTTTTTAAAATTATTCGTTGTGATATATTCATCAGTTCAACAACCATGTTTTTGTGTTTAAATTTCGCTGTCACATGGACCATTGAACAAAATAGTGTTGTTTCAGATTATCTCGTTTGTACTGATTCTCTTTCATCCTTGGAGACCCTAAAATGTATTTCGTCTTCTAATAAGATAATCCCAAACTTCTTCTAATAACATAGCCTTCTGGAAAGCTAAACTTTTATTATTGAGATTTAAAGACAACCTGAAAGATAAAAATATTTTGGTTTCTTTCACAGCTTTTCGAGGACATACGGGTGTTGTTGGAAATGGACGGGCTAATTTTCCTACAAAGATTGACACCAAGCGCGAGACTGATATTTTTGTTAGTATAAATCCTTTTGTAGAAAGGTCAAGAATGAAAGTATTGTGGAGTCGTGGAATAATGAATACACAGTGCGTCAAATAAATTTTAAGACTCGTCCCAGAGCGCAGCTTGTAATGGCTCTGTGAGTGTAAATGCTGCATAAATCCTGCATAAAGATTTGAGCAAGACAAAAGTGTGTGCTAAATTTATTCCACGCACTTCAACCCCTGAACAAAAGGCAATGAGAAGTGCGCACTGTAGAGACATCATTTCATTCGGAAATGATCCAGACTTCTTGAAGTCCATTGCTACAGCTGATGAAACGTGGTGTTTTCAATATGATTCTGAAACAAAGCGAAAAGGTGCGGAATGGAAGTCACAAAACTCACCGCAAGCAAAAAAAAAAAAAAAGAAGTTCCATCCGAAATTAAAAGAATGCTCATTTTATTATTCGATAGTAAAGGTATTATCCACAAAGAATTTGTTCCAGCTGGGCAAACCATTGCAGGTCAGTACTAATTAGCTGTTTAAAAGCGTTTGATGGTCAGAATTCGTCGCATTCGTGTAGACTATCGGACTGAAAGCAGTTGGTCAGTCACACTTTTCTTATATTTTGTCGATTATTAGCATAAAATAATGTCTGTGTGTTTAACCATCCATCGTATTCACTATTCCTTATTCCCTAAATTTAAAATGAAATTAAAAGAGTTATTTTGAGGATATTTCGACCATACAAGCAGCTTCGACACGTTCTTTGCAGATTATTTCACAAAGTGATTTAGTCGTTCGATTAATTAATAAATCGCTGTAGAAAGTGGAGGGTCTTATTTTGAACAAAAAACCAAAACAGGTACTAATTTCTTGATTTTATTCCTTTTTATAGACCCAGTCTTAAAAATTATTTGACGCACTGCGTAGATTAGCTTAATGAAGCTTAATGAAGAGATTTTTTCTTTCCATGTTAGGTCATTATTTTTTACAAGTTGTAAATGGACCCCATTCCTCACTGGCCTTAGAAACTTTAAAAGTTAACTTAGCAGATTTATGTTGGGCCTACAGATTTTTTGTGATAGCAGTGCTGGTGGCGAGGAAAATATTAACATGTTCTTCTGTGTTTCGGATTTAACAGAAAGATAGATAGATGACAGAAAGATCTTAAACATGACACTTAAAAATATAAATATTAATTGGCCTCCTGATTTTCATCAGTTTATTTCCGAGAGAGGTGCCTTTGCTATTTTTGTTTATAAAATGATTGTAATCCTTCATAAGTTTTTTTTATTTTTCTTTTACGTTTGCTTTTCTATATTGTGTTTCATACTTACTTAAGTCCTATGTGATACTTTGTGGTACATGGGGAACTCTTTGTGTTTTTAAGGGAAAAATATGTATATATCTTTAATACGTTCGTGCATCTCTTTCAGGAACAATTTCAGAGCCGGCCATGAGCTGGTCAGAAGTATAAAGCGGCATCAGTACTTAATGGGAAGGAAAAGAACCCATCAATTCTGCTAACGTATGAGGTTAAGAAGAGACTTAAGAAACAAAGAAAATTCTCTTAGCAGTACAGTATTTCTCTGTTGGTAATTGAAATATTTGTACTGATGTTGTAAGGTATCTCTCTCGCTTTCCTAGCGTGCCTTCGTGGAGTAGTGGTTCTGCACGCTGGGCCGGTATTGCAGACGTCCGTGGTTCGATTCTCGGCGATGGCGTTGCTAATTTCCTTCTCTCCAGCTTCCAAAAAATTCTTAATGTCACTACAATGGCGCCCAAACTAAAAGGGTTGTGGATGATAACACTTCACACCCAGGTTTTGGCGATTGGGTCTCCTAAAAAACCTAATCGCCCTTTAAAAGGGGGAGTATGTAAGGTATCTCTCTGTTTCCTGCTGCCTCGTGGTTGTAGGATTCTGCACGCTGGGCCGTAGTCCAGGGTCCGTGGTTCGATCCCGGCGAAGGCGGTTGCTAATTTTCAATCCCGTCTGCTTCCTTAACTAATGTCTCAAATGTCTCTTAAAAGAATTGTATACAGGACTTTATTCCCATGGTCATGTTTGCGCGTTATATTTATTATTAGTCTAGGGAGAACGAATTTTCTGTATTCTTTATTTCACTTACACCCCGCGAAACTATAAATGTCTATGTTTGCGTATGAATCTTAAAGGTATTCTCCCGCCTCTAGGGGCCTCGTGGTGTGTTAGTTCCGCACGCTGAGCCGATATTCCAGAGGCCGTGGTTGATTCCCGGCGAGGCGAGTTAATTTTTAATAACTGATTCAAAAAAAAAAAATACCTAATGTCTATAGTGGCCCCGAAAAAGAGTGCGGATGATGATTCTTCTCCCCAGGATTGGCTGGTCCCCTAAAATCCCCAGTCGCCCTTTAAAAGCGGGAGTATGTAAGGTATCTCTCCCGGTTTCCTAGCATGCCTTCGTGGTGTAGTGATTCTGCACGCTGGGCCGGTATTCCAGCGGTCCGTGGTTCGATTCCTGACGAAGGCGGTTGCTAATTTTTCAATCTCGTCTGCTTCCAATTAACCTAATGTCTCTACAGTGTAAAAGTTGAAAATCATACATAGGTTTGTTATTCGGATATGCAAAACGTACGTATTTCTTGCGTTTACAGACTAGGTAAAAGGGCAGAAAACATTATGAAATCAAATAATGAGCATTAAAAAAATAATGGTTTTAGCTGTAATATTCTAACTAAACCCGTTTTTCGACTCCCCAAGTCCATTTCTCACTTCTTTAGATAATTAGGCTTAATAAAGACTTTTGCTTCCATAAGAAATTCAGCCCCTATAAGATGTTTCATTTCGAAACTTGAGAACAACTGAAAGTTATCTGAAAGTATATGAACAACTGAAAGTTTTCTGAAACTCGAACTACAAAGTCAACTAAATCGCATTCTATTAAGTCATAAAATTCATTTACGTCAGCAGAGCAATTTCAAGGGTGAAAATCATGATGAAGTAACTATGGGCATGATGAATGTATATAAAACAAATGAGAATCTTGAAATAACCACTCAGTATATTGAAAGTTTCTCCACAGTTTTCTGAACTTTTTCATACCTAATATTGAAAATGTGGATGGAATATATCTCATTTTATACAAAGTGAAATGTTATATAAGGATACTTTCTGTGACTGAATGACATTTTCTGTGACCGAATCGAAGTAACAGAGAGAGCATATAGTAGGAATATAACGTTGGGACTACGAGGAATAGAATTAAGCGGTGTAAAGTTAATTTTCTTCAAGTATTCGGAAAGACTTCTACTTGCTCGAATTATATCATAACAGCTCACTTTGTTTTTCAGAAATATTTCACTGAGATATATAGTTATTTACAAGTATAATATATATAGTTATTTACAATTATGAGAGATAAAGAAATAAGACACTGTTAGTTGGAAAATTATGGCAGTATAAAGATTCTTTACTGTGTACTTTAAGTTACAGTTGAATGTGAAGAATCTTAAGAACTGATAAGCGAATAATCGCTTGAGTTCGTGTGACAGGAAACAACAAGATAGAAGGATGAAATAACTCTTTATTATTCCAGTCAGGTGTAATAGAACTCCATCTTGGAGTTGTGCAATAAAACCGACACTCGGGCTTGAACTTAAGAGACTAAGAACTAAACTAATCTTAACTAAAAAGAT